GGGGACGCGCTACTGAACGTGCTGGGGACAAGCGTTTCGCTCGAGACATCCTATCACAATCATCCGAATTCCTACGCGCGGGACGCGGCACGCGCGAGACATCCTCGGAATTCCTGCGAGCGGGACACGAAAACAAGCATTGCGCCTGAGATATCCTCTGAATTCTGGCCCCCCACGAGGCCCCCGCTCGAGACATCCCCCAATTTTGCAAAACCAGCGTTTCGCTCGAGACATCCTCAACAAATTATGAAAAACAAGCGTTTCGCTTGAGAAATCTGGTCAAAACCCAAAGGAATCAAAATTCCTGCGTGCGGGACGCGGCACGCGCGAGACATCCTCGGAATTCCTGCGCGAGGAGCGCTTTTCCGTGTCGCGGTCGGCTCTGCAAAACCAGCGTTTCGGTCGAGACATCCTCAACAAATTCTGAAACCAAGTGTTTCGCTCGAGACATCCCCAACTCTGCAAAACCAGCGTTTCGCTCAAGACATCCTCAATCAATTCTGAAAAACAAGCGTTTCGCTCGAGACATCCTCAAAAATAATTTCGCCGGCCTCCTTCGACCTCGATATTTATCAGGGAAAAATTTCGCCGGCCTCCTTCAAGTTGGGCACCGGGGACATGTTTACATACTAAAAGAAAACCCTGGGCCCACGCCCTTTCCGGGAATAATTTCGCCGGCCCTACTCCGTGCGTGCCCGCTCGCAAAATAATTTCGCCGGCCCAAGTCGCAGGGGGGCCGGGGGGTTAACCAACTAAAAGAAAACCCTGGGCCCACGCCCTTTCCGGGAAAAACAAGCGTTTCGCTCGAGACACCCTGTCGAAATCCAAAGTAATCCTGGCAAAACAAACGAATTAGTCGAGACATCCTCAAAATTCCTGCGCGCGGGACGCGGCACGCGCGAGACATCCTCGGAATTCCTGCGAGCGGGACGTGAAAAACAAGCATTTCGCTTGAGACATCCTCTCAATTCTGGCCACCCACGAGGCTCCCGCTCGAGACATCCTCCCAATTTTGCAAACCCAGCGTTTCGCTCGAGATATCCTCAACAAACTCCGAAAAACATGATGGACCCACGAACCCGGAAAGGGATATAGACATGTGCAGCATGGTCACGTTTTCACGATATCCAACTGGGCGACACCTCACGAAACATCCCACGAGACACCCCGCGAAACATCCCAGGAGACACCTCACGAAACAACCCACGAGACACCTCACGAAACATTCCACGAGACACCCCGTGAAACATTCCACGAGACACCCCACGAACAGGCAACCACTCAACCAGACACCCCACGAAACATTCCACGGGGGTGCGACTGGGTGTGGTCGTGCTGGGGTGTGGTCGTGCTGGAGTATGGTCGTGTTGGGGTGTGGTCGTGCTGGGGTGTGGTCGTGCTGGGGGGTGGTCGTGCTGGGGGGTGGTCGTGCTAGGGGGGTGGTCGTGCTGGGGGGTGGTCGTGCTGGGGCGTGGTCGTGCTGGGGCGTGGTCGTGCTGGGGCGTGGTCGTGCTGGGGTGTGGTCGTGTGGTGTGGTCGTGCTGTGGTGAGGTCGTGCTGGGGTGTGGTCGTGCTGGGGTGTGGTCTTGCTGGGGTGGGGTCGTGCTGGGGTGTGGTCGTGCTGGGGTGTGGTCGTGCTGGGGGGTGGTCGTGCTGTGGTGGGGTCGTGCTGGGGTGGGGTCGTGCTGGGGTGTGGTCGCTGCTGGGGTGTGGTCGTGCTGGGGTGTGGTCGTGCTAGGGTGGGGTCGTGCTGGGGTGGGGTCGTGCTGGGGTGTGGTCGTGCGTGCTGGGGTGTGGTCGTGCTGGGGGTGGTCGTGCTGGGGTGGGGTCGTGCTGGGGTGGGGTCGTGCTGGGGTCTGGTCGTGCTGGGGTGTTGTCGTGCGTGGGGGTATGGTCCTGCCAAAATTCCAGGAAATCGTACAAAAACAAAGGAATTAGTCGAGACATCATCGAAATTCCTTCGCGCGGGGCGCTTTTCCGCGTCGCGGTCGGCTCTGCAAAACCAGCGTTTCGCTCGAGACATCCTCAACAAATTCTGAAAACAAGCGTTTCGCTCGAGACATCCTCAACTCTGCAAAACCAGCGTTTCGCTCGAGACATCCTCAAGAAATTCTGAAAAACAAGCGTTTCGCTCGAGACATCCTCAAATTTTAATTCGCCGGCCTCCTTCGACCTCGTTATTTATCAGGGAAAAAATTCGCCGGCCTCCCTCAAGTTGGCACCGGGGGACAGGTTTACCTACTAAAAGAGAACCCTGGGCCTGAGCCCTTTCCGGGAACAAGCGTTTCGCTCGAGACATCCTGTCAAAATCCGAAGAATTCCTGGCAAAACAAGCGAATTAGCCGAGACATCCTCAACAAATTATAAACATGATGGACCCACGAACCCGGAAAGGGATATAGACATGTGGAGCATGGACACGTTTTCACGATACCCAACTGGGCAACACCTCACGAAACATCCCACGAGACACTTCACGAAACATCCCACGAGACACCTCACGAAACATTCCACGAGACACCTCACGAAACATTCCACGAGACACCCCGCGAAACATTCCACGAGACACCCCACGAAACATTCCACGACGACAGGCAACCACTCAACCAAGGCGGTGTGGTCGTGCTGGGGAGTGGTCGTGCTGGGGTGTGGTCGTGCTGGGGGGTGGTCGTGCTGGGGGGTGGTCGTGCTGGGGGGTGGTCGTGCTGGGGCGTGGTCGTGCTGGGGCGTGGTCGTGCTGGGGCGTGGTCGTGGGGGTGTGGTCGTGCTGTGGTGAGGTCGTGCTGGGGTGTGGTCGTGCTGGGGTGTGGTCTTGCTGGGGTGGGGTCGTGGCTGGGGTGTGGTCGTGCTGGGGTGTGGTCGTGCTGGGGTGTGGTCGTGCTGGGGTGGGGTCGTGCTTGGGTGGGGTCGTGCTGGGGTGTGGTCGTTCTGGGGTGTGGTCGTGCTGGGGTGTGGTCGTGCTAGGGTGGGGTCGTGCTGGGGTGGGGTCGTGCTGGGGTGTGGTCGTGCTGGGGTGTGGTCGTGCTGGGGTGCGTGCTGGGGCGTGCTGTCGTCGTGCTGGGCGTGGTCGTGCTGGGGTGGGTCGTGCTGGGGTGTGTGTCGTGCTGGGGTGTGATTTATCGTCGTGCTGGGGTGTGGTCGTGCTGGGGTGTGTGGTCGTGCTGGGGTGTGGTCGTGCTGGGGCGGTGGTGCGTGCTGGGCGTGGTCGTGCGTGTGCATGCTGAGGGTGTGGTCGTGCTGAGGTGTCCCGCACCCTGTGATTTATCGACCGGGATTTCAAAAACAAGCGTTTCGCTCGAGACATCCTCACAAATAATTTCGCCGGCCTCCTTCGACCTCGATATTTATCAGGGAAAAATGTCGCCGGCCTCCTTCAAGTTGGGCACGGGGGGATATGTTTACATAGAAAAAGAAAACCCTGGGCCCACGCCCTTTCCGGGCAAAAAAATGTTTCGCTCGAGACATCCTGTCAAAATCCAAAGAAATCCTCGCTAAACAAACGAATTAGTCGAGACATCCTCAAAATTCCTGCGCGCGGGACGCGGCACGCGCGAGACATCATCGGAATTCCTGCGAGCGGGACGTGAAAACAAGCATTTCGCTTGAGACATCCTCTCAATTCTGGCCACCCACAAGGCTCCCGCTCGAGACATCCTCCCAATTTTGCAAAACCAGCGTTTCGCTCGAGACATCCTCAACAAATTCTAAAAACAAATTGTTTCGCTCGAGACATCCTGTCAAAATCCAAAGAAATCATCGCTAAACAAGCGAATTAATCGAGACATCCTCGAAATTCCTGCGCGCGGGGCGCGGCACGCGCGAGACATCATCGGAATTCCTGCGCGCGGGGCGTGAAAATAAGCATTTCGCTTGGGACATCCTCTCAATTCTGGCCACCCACGAGGCTCCCGCTCGAGACATCCCCCCAATTTTGCAAAACCAGCGTTTCGCTCGAGACATCCTCAACAAATTCTGGAAAACAAGCGTTTCGCTCGAGACACCCTGTCAAAATCCAAAGTAATCCTGGCAAAACAAGCGAATTAGTCGAGACATCCTCAAAATTCCTGCGCGCGGGACGCGGCCCGCGCGATACATCCTCGGAATTCCTGCGCGCGGGGCGCTTTTCTGCGTCGCGGTCGGGGCTCCAGACCCCGTTATTTGTCGAGGATTCTGCGAAAAACGCTCCGCACCCTTTTTTTTACGAAGGAAAACGGGGGTCTGCGGACCCCGTTTTTTATCGAGGATCCGAGATGGGGGTCGCACTTTCCTCGAGCGGGCACGCACGAAACGCACTTTTTCAAAAACAAAAAAAACAGCACTTTACCTCGTCATTTATCGCGCAAAAATTCGCCGGCAAAAGCCGGGGGGGTCCTTTGAACCAACTAAAAGAAAACCCTGGGCCCAGGCTCTTTCCGGGAAAAAAAGAAGCCCAGACTATGGTTTGACTATTTTTGTATATTCCTCCGGTCGAGAGACAGGCCCGACGTAAATCCTCCAATGGCAACGCCCTGCCGCCTTCGCGGGCGCTCCCGCACGCCGCCCGGGAGCACGAGGAGGGGGCGGGGGAGGGAAGACGAGGACGAGGATTGCCACGCCCATAACGGATGTGGCTAGGTCGGGCATGTCCTCCTACAGGCGGACTCTGGACGAAGAATACAACATAGCCGAAACATGCCCAACACACGATCAGAAGAGAATCGAAACATCGTCCCCGGACTATGCCTGACTCTGTTTGAACACTCCCCCTGTAGAGGGACATGCCCGACTTAAGGGCATGGAGCAACGGCGGCACGATGCCCATCAGCAGATGCCGTCCAAAACCGACGGCGGCAGCTGTTGGAGGGGCGACTTGTCGCCTCGAGTGGAAAGCGTCCGCGGCGATGCCGACAGGGAGCCCTGCTCAAAAACGGCATGAACTGCTGTCGGTCTTCGTCCTCGTTCTCTCCGCGCCCATTCCGCTCGTCCCTAAACGACGGGGGCAACGCGACGACGGCACCGAGCTAGCAGTAGACATGATCTCGGGCAGCGGCCATGATGTTCCGCACGTGGTCCTGGCACTTCCAGCAGAAATATGCAGAACCAGCGTTGATAATGCAAGACATGCCCAAAGGGCACCTCAAAGCGAGTAAAGCCATGAGCGTGGCACACAAACTCATCATGGAACAGAGGAGCGACGCGAAAGCCTGCTCCCGATACACAGCCGTGGACGTGATGAACGTCAGGTAACCACTGTCGTTGTTCAGGCCCAGGCTCGCCTTCCCGTAGAGGCAGCAGAGCGCAAACACGATGGTGGAATACAAGGCCAAAAGCGTGCCGATGGAACTGAACATGATGACGAGGAACGTCATGGGAGAATGACCTTCGACCTGATCTGTCATGATGGCAGAAGAAAGTAGCTGCATGGAGAAGCCAGTGAACAAGGCTGCCAGAGTGCTGTAGCTCTCGAAGCCCTCGAGGCGCATCGCGGTGCGCTGCAACTGCGAATCGTCCAGCTTCGACCCGCCGCCCTCGCCGGGCATCTTGCCCTCCTGGCTCCCCAGGCTGTTCGCGCTCAAGTATCGCTGGGCGTCGTTGACCGCGGTGAGGTCCATGCTCAGGCGCAGCTGGGACGACGAGCTTGCCAGACTTCCTGAACTCAAGTAGCGCTGGTCGGGGAACGGACAATGACATAAACATACAGTCGGGGCGCTGACCCAAGGAACCCTAAATAAGGAACGAGGCCCCTTTTTTCCGTAAGTTGAGCTTCGACTTCCCATCGAAAATGTAAGGAAAACCTGAGGCAAGCTGTGGCACGATTATTAAGGATCACGGAGCCCCTCCCCAACGAAAAGGGTTCCTTCTTCAAGGCCCCGACTGTACACTTTCGGAGGTCCGCGCGGATTTCTCGGATCGGCGCTGGATCCCCCCTGCCTGGCGCGCGGAGCCGCCGCCAGGGAGGCCCAGAGTCGATCCAATGGGCCCGGGGGAGGGGCATTGCTTAGCGCCCTCCCCCCTCCGCCGTGTTTCTGGCACCACAGACTGTGGTGCCGGGCGCACTGCGGCAGTGCCAGCCCAGACATCCGGCCGCTCCAATTTTTTCGATGCGTGGGCCTTAGAGGTCTGACCACCTTACCAGGGCTGTTTTTTCGTCCTGGGAGTTTTTTGACGCTCCCGAGGCCCGGCGAGGGTCCCTGGAGGCTGAAAACTGCCCCAATCCCGCCGCTCCAAACTCTTTTGGGGCGTCGGATCTCGGGGAGGGACGCACTGGGGGAGGGGGGGGAGGCGCGTTATGGCCCAGAGGGTGAAGCAAAGACACACTCTCTGCTCCCCGAGCTGGGCGTCGTGGACCGCAGCCGACAGCCGGGAGGAGGGCGAGGGCGCAGCCACCTCGACGCCAGTTCTCGCAAGCCGCCAGAGCGCCCGGGAGTCGCGCTTCGGGGCCACCTGCTTCGGCTGCTTCGGCTGCTTAAGCACCTCGGCCCCTCCTTCCTCCTCTACTTCTCTACTTCCTCTTCCTCCTCCACCGCCTTCCTCCTCCTCCTCCTCCTCCTCCTCCTCCACCGCCTCCTCCTCCTCCTCCTCCTCCTCCTCCTCCTCCTCCTCCTCCTCCCATCTCCTTCCCTTCCCCCTCCTCCCTCACCCCCCTTCTCTCCTTCTCTCTCCTTCCTCCCTCTCAGGGGCAGGAGAGGCGGAGGAGGAGGAGGAGGAGGAGGAGGAGGAGGAGGAGGAGGAGGAGGAGGAGGAGGAGGTTGAGCCCCCCGGCCTCCCTCCTCCCAGGGGCTCCTCTGGAGGCCCGTCCACGCCGGCCGCGCGGCGACCCTCCGGCGCGAGCGGGCCATCGGCCTGGCTGCTGCCCGGCGCCAGGCCGTGGCCGGCTGTGGCGCCGGGCGCGCGGGCGGCGGCGGCCAAGGCCACGCTGGAGGCGGGCACGTACCTGCCGTAGCGGGCCCGGCAGCCCGTGCCGGGGAGCGGCGGCGTGGTGGCGAGGCGCGGCATGGCCAGCACTCGGGGCCGAGCCGGAGCGGCCTGAGCCCAGGCGTCCGAGGAGGAGGAGGAGGAGGAGGAGGAGGAGGAGGAGGAGGAGGAGGCAACACCGACGCCGCTGCTCGTCCTGGGGAGCGAGTCTCCTCCAACTTTCTGGTCAGAATGCACCTCACCAGAGGTCTGTGGAGTAGCGGTATCGGCACAGTTCTGCGCTCCCAAAGCGGTTGCGGACCTCTCCACGGCAGCCTGTTGGGGTGGGGCCGGGGTGGCTTCGGCGGCTGATCTGTGGCCCCCGAGGGGGGTGGAGCCGATGCCCCTGACTCGGACCCTGAGGGCAGACGACATGTCAGAGCTGGCTCAGTGGCTTCGGATGCTGCCAGGAAGAGGAGGAGAGCGACGCCTCCTCTTTCTGCTCCCCGATACTCCTCATCCCCCGTCCACCCCCTCCCCGATCTTCCTGCTCCAATACTTCCTCCTCGTAGCTCATCATCGGCCCCTCTGGGGGCAAACGGCCCAGTCCAAGCCGGGCGAAAAGGAACTCAGACGACTGAAAAACAATTATGTTCGCCAGCGTGGACTCCAAACAATGGGCTGTTGCAATATAGGCGTGGAGCCTATGTGGTGAGAGCCATGTGGTGCAAGCTACGTTGTGACAGCTGCGCGACGTAAGCTATGCTTTGTAAACTGTATTTTGCCTGCGAAGATATGATGTGAGCTCTGCTGCGTTATATGCTCCCTCCACAACTGCTTGCATTTAAAGGTTCTTGCTTCTCTTCTAAAGAACTGGGCCTGGCTGGCGGTTAAGCGGTTCCGTGCTCGCCGTCGTCGCCCCATCGCCGCCCGTCGTCTGGGCTTGACAGGCGGTCTGGCGGCTCCGCGCTCGCCGTTGCCGCCACGTCGCCGTCTCGTCGCCGCCCGTGAGGAGTGACGAATGAGGAGAAGGATGATGATGATGATGCTGATGATGGTGGTGATGATGATGATGGTGATGCTGATGATGATGATGAGCAGGAGGAGGAGGATGAGGAGGAGGAGGAGACGTGAGGAGTGAGGAGTGAGGACTGAAGAGGAGGAGGAGGAGGAGGAGGAGGAGGAAAATTAAGAGGAGGCGGGCGAGGACGAGGACGAGGAGGAAAATGATGATGAGAAGGAGGAGGAGGACGAGGAGGAGGAGGAGAGGGAGACGGAAAAGGAGGAGGACGAGGAGGAGGAAAAGGAGGATGATAAGGAAGAGGAGGAAGAGGAAGAAAAGGAGAAGGACAATGGGAATACTGAGGAAGAGGAGGAAAAGGAGGAGGAGGAGGAGGAGGAGGAGGAGGAGATGTTAGGAGGAGGAGTGAGGAGGAAGAGGGGGAACAGATAATGGACCGAGGTCCCTCGCACCCGGTGAACGGGAAGCCTAGCCTGGGGCGTCATGCCACCAGACGGACCACCGCGCCATCCCTCCCCGCGACTTGGCACCCGCAGAGCCATGACGAGCAAGAGGGAGGGGATGGCGCTCCCAGGCTGACCTCCCCAGAGAGCCTCACCAAGGCAGTCAGCTCTCCCCGAGCTCGCCGCACAGCGCCTCCAAGACCCCGCCTAGCTGCCCGGACGAAAGGTCCTTGAGCACCGCGCGCAGGGCAGCCACCCCGTGCTCCGAGCTGTCGACGATGACGAGGCCCAGCCTCGTGTGCTCTGTGTTCAGCATCTGCGCCGTCACGGACTCCTTCGTGAACTCGATCTCCTCCGAGTCGAAGCGATTCCCAGAGGAGCCCGCACCTCAGGCCCCGTGGGTACCCTCTGGCTCCTCGCCTTCCGACTCCTTGACGCCCACGGACTGCTGCTCCAACCGTCCCATGTCGTCAAGGAGGCTCAGGTCGTCGATGGTGTCCTGCTCCGCTTCCTCCCTAGGCGGAGGTCGGCAAGACTCCCGAACTCCGCCTGCGTGCATCAGCACAGGAGGTACCGCCTGCTCCTCCATGAACTTGCCCTGCTTCGCTTGCGCCTTGGCACCTCCAGCAAACACCAGCACGTCTGGAGGTACTCGCTTGACCTTTTTGATCTTGCCACCCCTGCCGCTCCTCAGCGGCACGAGCTCGCCATGACCAAGGCCGCCACTCCGCCATCCTCCCCTCCTGTGCCGCACACCTGCGCGCGTGCGCAGCCTGGCTGGCCTCTATGGCCGTGACCATATCCTTCTTGTCCTTGGCGCCACCTGCGTGCACCAACACGTCTTGAAATGCCGCCTGCTTCTCCTTGAACTCGTGCCCGACGCCATCTGCGTGCACCAGCTCGTCTTGAGGTACCGCCTGCTTCTCCTTGAACTCGCACTCGTACTGATAGCTGGACTGCAGCATGCCATCACCTTCCTCGTCGCCACAAGCGACGGTCGGGTGTACTAGCACCGACGGGGGATCCACAGCGCCGAACCGCGGCTGCTCAACTCCACCGCCCCCGGGGCCGCGCACAGGGGCCACGCCAGAGCCCAGCTCCAGGCACTAGCGGAGGAGCTCGTCCTTGTCTTCCGACCAGTCGTTCTCAACCAACAAGTCGCTCCACTGCACCCGCGTCAGTCGACCACGCGCGGCTCCGAACGCTCCGCCTTCTTGCCTTTTTAGTACTTGCGCGTCTTGCGCTTCTTCTCCTTCAGCTCATTATATTCCCTTGCGCGGCGCTCGGAGCCCTTCAGGCGGCCATTTGCCCAGCGGCGGCCCCTCTCCCGCGGGATCGACTCGCTCGTCCTGCTGGCCAGAGTGCTCCGCATTGGCACCTGCAGCGCCTCCTGCACGGCCTGGCGCTCCTTCTCCGCCTTGCATGCCGCGAAAAAGGCCTGCTCGAATAGCGCCCTGGCTGGAGTCTTGGCGCCTCGCCCCTCCTCGGCCAGCGTCGCGCCAGCTGAACAGCTCCGGATCCTCATATGCATCGACCACCTGGTACGCCTTCCCGATGGGGCAGGCGGCCCTGGCGCGTCCCAGTTGGCAACGGTTCCTCCGACTCCGCGTCCTGGGTCGCAAGGAACGCGGCCTGAGCTGACGTCGGCCTCGGCCTGGGCTTGGGCTGCGGCGCCGCCGTGCGCCTGCGCCTCCGCGGCCCTGCGCCTCCACTGCGCCTCGGCTGCGGCGGCCGGCTGCGATCGCGGTGGGGGCCACCATCTCTTTGGCTCGCGGGCGCTGCACCCCCTCCACGCGCGCGCGCGCCCCGCTGGCCCGCTCCCGCTGGGCCGGAGGGGGCTACGAAGAGTGAGGACGAGGAGGAGGAGGAGGAGGAGGAGGAGGAGGAGGAGAAAGAGGAGGAGGAGGAGGAGGAGGAGGCGGAGGAGGAGGAGGAGGAGGAGGAGGAGGTGGAGGAGGAGGAGGAGGAGGAGGAGGAGGAGGGAGAGGAGGAAGAGGAGTGATATGTGAGGCGTGAGGAGGAGGAGGAGGAGGAGGAGGAGGAGGAGGTGGAGGAGGAGGAGGAGGATGGCGCTCCCAGACTGACCTCCCCAGACAGCCTCACCAATGCAGTCAGCTCTCCCCGAGCTCGCCGCACAGCGCTTCCAGGACCCCGCCTAGCTGCCCGGACGAAAGGTCCTTGAGCATCGCGCGCAGGGCAGCCACCCCGTGCTCCGAGCTGTCGACGATGACGAGGCCCAACCTCGTGTGCTCTGTGTTCAGCATCTGCGCCGTCACGGACTCCTTCGTGAACTCGATCTCCTCCGAGTCGAAGCGATCCCCAGAGGAGCCCGCACCTCAGGCCCCGTGGGTACCCTCTGGCTCCTCGCCTTCCGACTCCTTGACGCACACGGACTGCTGCTCCAACCGTCCCATGTCGTCAAGGAGGCTCAGGTCGTCGAAGGTGTCCTGCTCCGCTTCCTCCCTAGGCGGAGGTCGGCAAGACTCCCGAACTCCGCCTGCGTGCACCAGCACAGGAGGCACCGCCTGCTCCTCCATGAACTTGCCCTGCTTCGCTTGCGCCTTGGCACCTCCAGCAAACACCAGCACGTCTGGAGGTAATCGCTTGACCTCTTTGATCTTGCCACCCCTGCCGCTCCTCAGCGGCACGAGCTCGCCATGACCAAGGCCGCCACTCCGCCATCCTCCCCTCCTGTGCCGCACACCTGCGCGCGTGCGCAGCCTGGCTGGCCTCTATGGCCGTGACCATATCCTTCTTGTCCTTGGCGCCACCTGCGTGCACCAACACGTCTTGAAATGCCGCCTGCTTCTCCTTGAACTCGTGCCCGACGCCATCTGCGTGCACCAGCTCGTCTTGAGGTACCGCCTGCTTCTCCTTGAACTCGCACTCGTACTGATAGCTGGACTGCAGCATGCCATCACCTTCCTCGTCGCCACAAGCGACGGTCGGGTGTACTAGCACCGACGGGGGATCCACAGCGCCGAACCGCGGCTGCTCAACTCCACCGCCCCCGGGGCCGCGTAAAGGGGCCACGCCAGAGCCCAGCTCCAGGCACTAGCGGAGGAGCTCGTCCGTGTCTTCCGACCAGTCGTCCTCCACCGACAGGTCGCTCCACTGCACCCGCGTCAATCGACCACGCGCGGCTCCGAGCGCTCCGCCTTCTTGCATTTTTAGTACTTGTGCGTCTTGCGCTTCTTCTCCTTCGGCTCATTATATTCCCTTGCGCGGCGCTCGGAGCCCTTCAGGCGGCCATTTGCCCAGCGGCGGCCCCTCTCCCGCGGGATCGACTCGCTCGTCCTGCTGGCCAGAGTGCTCCGCATTGGCACCTGCAGCGCCTCCTGCACGGCCTGGCGCTCCTTCTCCGCCTTGCATACCGCGAAAAAGGCTTGCTCGAATAGCGCCCTGGCTGGAGTCTTGGCGCCTCGCCCCTCCTCGGCCAGCGTCGCGCCAGCTGAACAGCTCCGGCTCCTCATATGCATCGACCACCTGGTACGCCTTCCCGATGGGGCAGGCGGCCCTGGCGCGTCCCAGTTGGCAACGGCTCCTCCGACTCCGCGTCCTGGGTCGCAAGGAGCGCGGCCTGAGCTGACGTCGGCCTCGGCCTGGCCTTGAGCTGCGGCGCCGCCGTGCGCCTGCGC